CATCACGTTACCTTTTCTACCTGGTAACAAAAGACACTGCCCGTGACCAACCTACCTACCGAGATGTATGGGAAAAGCCTTACTTCAGTTGAGAGAGCACGTACTAGAGTCCGACGTGCAAAAGTTAGCCATGCCAAGTTGGAGTGCCGCCAATTAGATTGGAGGTTATACGAAACATGGTGGAGGAAGTCTTTAAAGACACCGAAGTCCAGGTGTTAGTCTGTTGCAATCCGCATAGTTACTGCTGCGGAGAGAAAACCGTCCCTTGTCATTTTTATACAACTGGAAGTTGTAAAAGAGGGTCCAGTTGCCGATATCAGCATGTCGTTCCAGTTCCAGTCCCGACAAGGTTCCAGGAGGAACCATCTTTAAGAGGGGGGCAATGTTACGATTTTAAATGTTATGGCATATAGAACTGTAAATATTTTATGACTAATTCTTTTTATTAATTTCTCGTAATTTGTAGGTCAAAATATACCTGAGCTTAGCTACCAGTTGTTTACCAGAAATCTCTAGACACTAATTTTGGTGAATCATCCACGTCTCGAGGTTGAAAAACGAGTCGAGCGCCTTCACCAAAATACGAGACTATTCAAGAAGTCCGCCGAATTCTCTGGGATGACACAGTTGTGTATATAAATGAAAGATTTTTATTTGGCAGTTAGTCATAAGAAGATCGGTAAACGGGATATTTTAAATGTAACGAAACGTGAAATAAATACATTTGTAATATAAATTAGAATTAATAAAGACTTTAATAAATTCGTAATTAGTTATCGTGAGTTTTAATAAATTAGAATATAGACAATAAATTAGAATAAAGACAAATAAATTAGAACTATATAAATATACAAACTTCACAATATGAAGGGGGTAAGAGCATGATTAGATCTTAATCTGTTTATAACCCTTATGAAATGGCGATTTGATAGAGTATGAAACCATCTTTTTATGGGTATTTCAGGCTGCATTTGTTTGTAGTTATTTCCAGTTCTCGTGTTTCGATAATATGTTTGCCAGTTTACTTTTTGATGCCGTTTACTAATTATATCAATGTCTGAAAATGGGAGTAAGTTCAAGGGAAGCTTCTCCGCCTATGTCTAGGGCAGATTTGGCTAGGCTATCTGCTATTTCATTGCCCTTAATGCCCGCGTGTCCCTTTATCCATGATATAATATTGTTTTGCCCTAAATTTGTAATTTTATTGTAAATAGTTATAATTTCTAGTTCTATATGATTTAGTTGTTTGGACCTATGTACGTTTGTTAGTCTGTCGACGACACTCTTACTGTCTGTAAATATTATGCAGCTGCAGGGTTCGTTACTATGTATATGCCTTAATGCAAGAAGAATCGCTGTCATTTCAGCAGTGTATATTGATGATTCAGCTGGAAATTTCAATAATTTTTTAAATCCGCTTTGAATATTAATTAATGCACATCCTACTTTGTTTTGTACTTTAGATCCCTCTGTAAAGTAAAATTGATAATTTGGCCATTTATGCGGTGTAAATGATTGAAAAGCGACTGGATCTAAATTACTTTCCATAAAAAAGGTATTAATATGTTTTGAGAAAAGCTCTTCTAATATATGGGAATACATAGGTGAAACTTGATTTTCATACGAATAGAAAGTATGTCGGTATTGAGATATCCTCAAGTAACTATTTACCAGAAGAGAACATTTTTTCTTTGTCCAATATTTATGAGTTAGATCTAAAATTGATAAAATATGAATATCCTGTAGATAGTTAGTATTTTTTTGCCATGGCTCTAGTAATGAATTTATCACTTAAAAACTCCCGTCGAAATTTCAGAGGTGGTTCTATCGCCTCAACTTCCATTATATTAACAGGTGTAGAATTGAAATATCCAGGACAAAGCCGAAGGCATTTATTTTTTTGTATTTCTAATGTATTTAAATGTGTGTTTGCGGCAGTTCCATACAAATGACAACTTTGACAACTTCCATACAAATGACAACGTTTGTTTGGTGTCTGTTTTTTTTTACGTGTTTCTGATTCTGCTTAAATTATTCTTAATTCTTAAAATCTATTTAATTCTTATTCTTAAAATCATAAGAAAGTTACTCAATAGACTAATTAATCGATATTCTGAGCATTTTTTTCTTTCTGTGGTTTATGTTTATTAGGGATTATAAACAATGTAGATCCATGCCAGTCTGTGGGAATCACCCAGGTGTTGATTTGTATTTTTTTGAGTCTACTATTCCAGTGATCACTTGTTTTTCATATCTTGTTCATTAATCTCCTTATTTCATTGACTTACACGAATTTTGCATTCATCAATTTCTCTTTATGAACTGGTCATTTTTATTTCTATTTTATTCTTTTTTTGGTGTAAATACGTACATACATAGAGAAAAATGGACACTCATTTTATTTTTCAGTTCACGTGTATGAAAAAATAGCAAAAAAATATTATAAAAGTACATTTACTTTACATTGTTTTGTGATTTCGAAAAATAGATGATAAAAGTGGATCCCCTTAAATATTATTAATAACGTACCAATAACTGTAAAAAAGTATTAAATAAAAGAAAACTTGATCTACTTTCTTAATATATTGCAACAATTTCCAATATAAAATATATCAAAAATATTTAACAATTATTAATGTATCTACAAAAATCGTACGTGTAGGCATGTTTATCAGCCCCAGCACAATCCACATGGGCCCACAACGAACACATAATGCATAGGACCCAAAGTTCTCCTTTACAATCTTCCGAATTTTTCTATCACAAAACATGTACAAAGCATCATCCTCTTTAGATGGTGACATTCCCGGAATAATATCCAATTCAGAAGAGACACTGATTTCATCTTCGGTGTCTGATTCTTTCATATTTCTCTCCAAATTTAGACATCTTTTTACTATCTCTAGTTCTTTTTTAGAAGATCCTGCTGCCGAAAAACCTTTTCTGTCGCGTTTGCTTTTGAAACCGTGAGCACGTTCTTCCTGTTCAATTTCGATGGCTACTTTAGCTTTTTTATGTTCCATCAACTTGGATATATAAGGAGAAAATGTGATGATTGTTGAACTGCAGACTTTCCGCCTCTATTAGTGGACCTTTTTTTCACTCAAATAAGATTGATCTGATCGTTCTCTTTACACGGTTTTTGCATGTTTACAGCATGAAAGGTCTCGTAGTAATGTGTTTCTCCTATTCACCCGAATCTTGGGATCCTATTTTTATGATTTGTAATAGTTTGTAATTAAAAATATTTAATACAGTTATTAATGACTGCTGTATTATTATGCGGATGGCCATTAAATTGTTCCATCTCCTTGTTACTGTGCCTATTTTCAAAACTCTGGACAAACAGACTGCCTTTGCCTTACCAACTCATTCGTTTGTAGCCTCTGGTCAGTAAATGAAGAACTCAATACACTCCACGAAATTATTATACTAGAAGATACCAACAACGTACAAATCAGAGCTATATTCATATTCAATTCATAAACCGAAAAAAAATATAATGAAATACATAAAGAAATCTAAAAAAGAATTATAGTAGCAAAAGACCGATGGCTACAAGAATCCTGTTCTAGAAATTGAGCAACTGGAGCAACGACACGAAGCTTTTATTTGCATATAAAACTAAAAGAATTAACAGACAAAAGCAGAATTTACGGTCAAAATATATTACAAGTAGTCACAAAAGTTAATATCGAAGACTCAGTACTAGAATTAAAAACTAGAATACTAGAAAAAAGCGTTTAGAAGCGTTCGAGTTGTGGTGCTACCATCACATGCTCAGAATCCTGTGGACTAACGAATCTGTGCTAAAGACGATGCACAAGAGCGAGAATTGATCAACAGCATCAAAATATGAGAAATCTGAAAAGAAGAAATAGAACATCTGAAAAGAAGAATAAACCTCGCTTGGGCTGCATTTGGAAAGATGAAGGATATTTTTAGGTGTAAGATTCCAATGTGTCTGAAAAGAGAAGTATTTAATCAGTGTATTTTGTCAGTGATGACCTTTGGCGCAGAAACCCTAACACTCACAAGAACAACAGTGAGTAAACTACAAGTTGTGGAAAGGGCAATGGAGAGAATAATGTTAATTATGTTAATACGCAAAAGATCAGGAGTAGCAGACGTTATTGAAAGGATAACAACACTTAAGTGGAACCAAGCAGGTCATGTAGCAAGATCAGTTGATGACCGATGGACAAAAATAATTTTGGAATGGAGACCCCGAATACAAACAGAAATAGAGGTCGACCCCCTAACGAGATGGACAGATGACATAAAAAGAGTGACTACAAATTGGATTCAGATGGCGCAAAATCGGTTTAAGTGGAAAAGCATGCGAGAGGCTATGTTCAGCAGTGGATGTTAGAGGCTAGTTGATAATGATGATGATCAAAATAAGAAAGATCCAATACTTCGGTCATATTATGAGAGGACCTTGAATATCGCTTACTTCGGTTGACCGTTCTGGACAAAATCGAAGGAAAACACTGGGTACGCAGAAAGCAACTGCTCTGGCTGCGTAACATTAGACAATGGAGAGGTCGAACGGTCGATTAATTGTTTCATCCAGCTGCCGACCGAGCAACATTTCGTCAGCTTGGTAATACGACGATAGCCAATAATTAAAATCAAGTCATCACACAAAGAAGAAGATTTTTATGATATCTATGATTTTATTAAAATCAGAAATTGATATTTTATAATAAAATGTGTCTTCAATAGACACAATTTCTTGTATTATTGAAAATAATTTGAATCTCCGAAATTGTATCGTCTCCCTAATCATGGTTAAACTATATTAAACTAATCTTCTGCTTTTTTCCTTCTTATTTTCAGAACAAATATAAATGGCATGTAACCATAAATGGTTTACGCGAATATCACAATAGACATCATACTTATAAAAAGTGGGTAAATAATACTAACGTATACCACAACATTTGTTGGCGACAAGGCACATGTACTTTATTTACTTTATTTACTTTGAAACTCACCTCAATTATGTATTCACGTCCATCCTTGCCGACTACAACTTCTAAAGCGCAAATATCTAATCCACCGAACAAGTCGGAAACTTCGTCGACCCAGTTTTTATATCTTTCTGGCATGGATATTTGCTCTAACATTGCTGATCCAGTATTTGTTTTCCAACAACCTGAAACGATTCCAAATTTTATATTAGGTAAATACCGAAATAAAGTGGAAATAGCTGGATTTCACTGGAAGTGTAGAGTTACAGGGATTGCTGGGTCAAGATATATAGTTACTGTAGAAATTAGGTTTGGAATTAAATTATATCAAAACATAAAGTTTATGAGAGAAAACTTAATACAAAAGAAATTAAATTCAAAGAATAACAAAATAATAAAGACAAACGTTACAATATTTGCGAGTTATGGTGAATAAAAAATAATGACAATATTAAAAAATATTCTAAAGATTTAAACAACCGTAATTTAGTTTGAAATTATCTACGGTGTAGAAGGGTGTGTAAAAAGTTGTCTACAGATAATACAACTATCAAAAGCAACAGAAAACAAAAGTCTTGACTTAATATTAACAAGTAAACCAAACTATTGACCAACCGATAGAACTAAAATCTCTGATCTTTTTGATTCGGAATTTACAAGGGAATTCCCAAAAATTACAAGTTGACAAACTCTTGTCTTACTTTGTCCTCTAATCATTCTCCAATTCTAATTACAATCAGCACTGACATAATACAAAAAAAAAACCAACGCCAACCTTAGGCAATTAGACACTAATTGGAATGATTTTTATTGGAATGATGAATACGCAGTATCAGGTTAACAGCAACCTTTGAGATAAGGATTTTCCAAATGGTGTTAAAAATCTCTTGAGCAGAACATGTGACTAATGGTGAGATAGTGATGGTGAGCCACTAATAGTGGCTTCCCACGATCGGCGATTCTACAGATCATCGCGGACAACCGATCAGCACGGACGGCAACGCACCGCAGACATGAGCTCTTCCTACGGTCCGTGACAGTCTGTGTAGGTCCGTGACAGTATTGTTTGATTATATCATAAAAAGGCCACTCAGGCTTGTAAACATCATCAGCCCCACTTCCAGTTCCATCGATTCTCTAACTTTTATTTTTTGCCTTTTGTATGTCGGCACTAAATTATTTCTTTCTTTTTTAATTCTTTAATAGAAATAGTACTATTCTTATGCTGTGTCGCAGAGGAATTTCATAAACGTGGTTTATTTTGATACAAATTTAAAAATCAAAAAAAAACTTCGTTTGTCCATTCCATTTTTTAGCAAAAAACTGCAAAACAACTTTGACAACTACAGAAACTATCGTGTCACGAATGAAAAATTCTGACTTGCATTGTCTGTTAAACACAGACGCGCTAGGATCGCGTTGCACGAGCATATACGACCTTTGATGTTACCGACTCTAGATGGATAGGACGCACCAGCACGGACGTGCCTGTGCTACCGCGAACGAGACCTTTCCAGGTGCGTGGTGCGGGCTGGTCCGCTACGTCCGAAATATCGCCGACGTGGGAAGCGCTAGAAGAAGGATAGGACGGCTAGTTTCATCTTTATATTTTATAATAATTAAGAGCGCTAATAATAAAGAACAGTTTTTGACCATTGTAAAATACCGGAAAACAACTGAGGAGGATGACTCCATATTTAGACCGTTTTGGGTGGAAACATATGCCATTAAAAAAATTGACGGATTGACTGCTATAAGAACGATGCAGATCCAATAATAAATAAAGAAATTACTACCTCTGGACCTGCATTCTTTTGCACCAAACGATTGTGAGTGTTCGGTGATATTCGTGGAATGCAAGGTCATCTTCTGTTGGCGCTTGGCCGGCAGGACAGTTGATTTGTTTTGACTTGTTAGTCGCTATCATTACAAAATGAGTGAAACCGAGTCAGATCCATTAGCGCTAGTGAGTCAGAGTATGAACCTACAAGCTCTGATAAAAGTTGTTTTAATAGTGATGTCGCAGGATCTTCAGATAGGAGGAAGCATCCAAAGAAGAAACGTACCTCTGTAAAAAAACAACACATTGAACCTGTTGTCAACATGGAGCCGACGGAAGAGCCCCAGTTGTTTCAGTAACCAAAAATAGAAAAAGTGCCAAACCAACACTCTGGAAAAAAATATGAAAAAAAGCTATTGCAGAAGGGAAAATCTATACGAACTGGAAAGGAATACAGAACGGACCGAGATTAACTGGATCGAACTGGAACTGCAGGTACAGGTGTTTTCAGAATATGGACGAAGAAACAAGAAATGTTGTCTTAAAGTTTAACATAATAGGCGACAAATATTTGCAAAATACCTATTTGGGAGGGTTGATTTAAACTACTACTATTCAAAGAACTCGAAAAAGACTAATGAAGGGGCAAGACCGCACTTGTTCCCATAAATACTTTATAAAGCTGGTAAGCTATCCAAATGAGTCTGTAGACATGCATTTAGTTCAATCCACGGCATATCAAGGAAACGTGTAGATCTCACTGCTCAAACTTTTCATGACAGAGATATTGCAGCGCAACCTAGTAACATACAAATAGACTCTACCGAAAATCTAACGAGACACTCAAAAATGTGAACATGCACATCCAGAGCTCTCCAAGGCGTGAATTGCATTATAGTAGAAAACAAATACCATCGATTCTATTTATCTTCATATCTAAATGTAAAGAAGATCATCAACTCTTTTTGAACTTTACGAACCAGAAAGTGTTGTACAATTCTAAATATAAACCCAAAGTTCACTATTTCTTCTACTATCGATACTTCAAAGAAAACTCCAACTACAGTTTGGCTCACCTCGATCAGATACGTGCAGAAAATGTGATGTCTTAGATAACAAACTCAAAGATGTGATTTTTCAAGTACTAGATTAGACAACCAGATATCTAGACTATTAATTGATGATCTGGAACTGGAAGGTGTGGACACCTTCGGCTACCTGGGCTAGCTGCTGACCAAAGACAATATTGTCAGCGAAGAAATTAATAGAAGAATAGTACTTGCCAATAAGTGCTATTATGGCTTGAGGAAACATGATGGCCCCAAAACTACTGTCCAGAAAATTTTAAGTTACCATATATAAAACGCTATAAGGCCAGTGTTAACATATGGGTCAGAAACGTGGTCACTTACACAGAACGACCAAGAATTGCTTAAACGTTTCGAGAGAAAAATTCTAAGGAAAATATATGGAGGTGTCCAAGAACAGGGTTTGTGTCGTAGGCGCTACAACTTTGAGTTATACAGAAGTTTTGGGGAACCTGACGTTGTAAAATGTATTAAATTAGCACGACTTCGATGGATAGGACATTTAATTAGGCGAGATGAAGATGCAATGATCAGAAACATTTTCGACCGAAGAGGGCCAGTGGGAAGACAAGCCAAGGAAGACCAAAACTTAGGTATCAAGATAACATAGAGGATGATCTAAAATTCATCGGAATTAAAGCATGGAGAAGAGTTGCCAGAGACAGGGGCGAATGAAAGATTGTTCTGAAGAAGGCTTTGGTTCATAACGAGCTGTAATGCCACTGATGATGATATTTTTCAAGGAGCTAAAGGAGAAAACCACATTGTAGAAGCATAGCGATAAAGTGGAGGTTTTGACCTTTGACTTTCAACAAAATCTTCCACTTCCAAAAATTCCTATTGGGGAAGCTTTCTACAAACGCCAATTGTGCACATACAACTACTGTGTCAATTCTGTTAAGACAAATCAAGCACACTTTTATATGTATGATGAAACTACGGATCGAAAGTCACCAAACGAGGTAGTGTCATTTTTGTACCGCTATATAAATCCCTATAATATACTCCCTTAAAATGTTAGTTTTATATCTTTTCTCCGCTAAAGCTGCTTCGCAAAACAAAAACTCAGTAATGATTTAGTTTCTGTATTTTTAGGTCTATTGACAAGATAGAACACCACTTTCCTGAGCCAGAACATAGGTTTCTTTTTTGTGATCGCTGCTTTGGAGTTATTGAGAATTTTTAACGAAGAAAGACTACGTTTTTAGTCCCCAAAATATGCTGATTTTGTTAAACTATCATCCAAACAGTTTATTTCCATTCTGGTAAAACAAAATATGGGCTTTAGTGGTCACTATGAAGGACATTTTAAAAAAGATATCTCATATGCAGAAAACCAAAGATTCCAGATTTCCAAATACCAAATTTTCCAGTACAACAATGAACATTTAGATGGTATTAAAGTCAGTATATCTACTGGCCTTCTGAGTTTTTCACTTATTCCAAAATCTTGAGAAACCTTGACAGCGACCTCTCAGTTTCTTCTGATATTCCTATTAGATATGTCTATTGCAATCCTATACCTGTCAAAAAGCCAAATATGCAGATGTAATGCAGTTGGCAACACGATTCGTTCCTATGGACCAAATGACTTTTTACACCCGTCTTACAAGTGTGCAGCCATGGAAGAGAACCAGAAAACCGAATCATCTGGAACGGATGATGACGACCAGGTAGATGATTGAAGGATGTGTTTTGCCCGTGTGTTTAATATTTTATACTTTTTCTGAATGCTATTTTTTTGACACCAACCTGTTTCTTTTTGCAGATTTTTTCGTATTTTTGTAGTAGGTAAACCATAGTCGTTTGCTTGTTGTAACCGAATAAAAGAGTTTTTGTTGGGAATTTATTTTTTTCTCAAAAATGATGGTAAAGAAGCATTATTTCACGTATTCGTTGCAAGAAAGATTTAATCCAACTTTTTTTCAATTTTTTTCCTATTTTTTTAAAAATCATCTACTTGAAAATAATCTCAAGTATTGACTTAATCTGTTTGTCATCGATTAATATTATGTTTTTCGGGTTAAAATAAAAACTTTTATTAAAAAACAGATTTTTTTTAATTTCTCAAGAATAACCAAATATGGAGCTTATAACAAACTCCTCAACTGGTTTTTTTGGAGCATATTTATAGAGCAGAAAAAAAACTTGAACGATTCATAATGGAAGAGAAAATTAAAGAAAACAGAGAAAAATGAGTAGATAAGCTTGAATGCTTGTGGTTCATTTATTATTTAGAATAGCACATAACAGTGAGCACTTTACAGAAAAAATCGCACATAAGGCACATTAATGTGCTGAGACAAAAATAATGGAGAACATTTGTTTACTTGTTAAAGAAATTTAGAATACTACAACAGAGCAAAGAAAGACAACGGATAATTTACTGGCAGTAAATTATTCAGTATCTTCAAAAATGATGATATACACTCCTCAAAAGTAAATAAACCACGACGATTATAATTATCTTACCTGAAATTGATTTCCTCATGAAAGCCTTATAATTATTTCCGATTTTCTGGACGTGAATATCATATTTTGAATCTATGTACGGTTCAACGGTGCAATATGTGTTAGCTACGGCAACTACGCTGGCCATGTCCTGGAAGTCGTTTAGATTTTCCACTTTCACCTTTCCTAGACCTCCGTGAGCGTGGCCGATCTTTATTACTACCGGAAATCGAGGAGCTGTTATCTGAAACAAATAAATAAAAGTTAGAAATGAAATAATTTGGATAAATTGTATTTGTGATGCCTATGAATATGCAACTAACAATACAAGTTGGCTTATTATCTTTATACCACTTTTTATATTCATTCTTTTTATAACTTCAACAACAACACATACAAAACATAATGCAATAATAATTAAATTTATGTCGATATTGTACTTTTGCAATAATTACAAAATTATAGATGCTTTTCTGAACAGTAGAAATAATTTTAAAAAAGTATAGTCGCAGAATACATATTACCATAAACGAGTATATATTTTAACAACCTTTTATATAAAAATGCCAAAGCTGGTTCTTCAACATCAGTGTCAAATTAGTTGTAGTTGCTTTTCAATTTTCATTTGGATTATTGACTACTTAAATTACACTGCTCTACCAATTTTGTCAATGTTTCTTCACTTCATGAAGTACTACTAATTTTTTGTTAAGAAAAATGCTAATTTTGGGCTGAGAAGATGTAAAATTTTGTACCAAAATAGTACAAATCCAATAATTACATCTGAAATTTTACATCTTTTTGAAGTTTGCATAAACCAGGACTACTTTGAATTTAATGATCAAATATATACAAATACCAGTGCAGGACTTATAATGGGCAATCCTCTAAGCCCATTACTATCAGATATTTTTATGGACCATCTAGAGACAAAGATTTCAAAACATCCCGTATATCAAATAATTTCTATATTGGTGGAGATACGTAGACGACGTAACTGTTAAATCAAAAAACTACACAAGAAAGCCTGAAATTAGTATTTCCACCACCAGAGAAAAAATACCTTCTGCTCGATTACATATACAGGCAAAATATCAACAAAAATAGCCAAACACATAAAAAAGAAAGGAATAACACCAGCTTTCCGAACAAATAACAACCTAGAGCAAATATATTAAAAATAACAAGAGCCAAAATAAAAAACTACTTAAATAGTGGTGTGTACAAACTTCATGTGGCGACTGCCCAAAAACTTACATCGGTCAAACTGGTAGAAACTTAAATAAACGAATAGCAGAACATAAAAGGGCTTTCAATAATAGAAAACAGATTCGACATACGCACTTCACCTTCTAGATCATAATCATTCTTTTAATGACAAATTTAAAATTCTTCACATTCAAAATAAAGGCCTTAAGCTATCTTTGTTAGAATCTATGGAAATCAACAAATTAAAAAACCAGATTATAATTCTGAAATGACCAACTTGAGACAAAACAGTTCTCCTCTCCTTAACTTATTTTCATTAGAGACTATAATTTGTAAAAGCATGCCAAAAATAGATCACCTGAGAAAGGCAATCAGCCGAAACGGCTGTAGTGATAATAGTTAGAATAAATTTTGTGGAAGTTTGAAAACAAAGTTTTCAGTGTTTTATCTTGTTCTCTTGCGCAAAGCCTGACAACAACTTTCCATTGCGTCTGCTTCATAAGTACTTCTCATGTTACAGGAACCTATCCGTATTGTACTTGGATGACAATAATTTTTCATTATTGCCATAGTTCCATTATCCTTTGATCCATTTCTGCTAATCGGCTCTAGTTTGCTGGTGGATCTAACTTCCGGTACCCCCTTATTAGTATTTTACCCTTTCTACGGGCCTCTTGTAATTTTTTCTTTATTTTTTTCTTCTTCAAGTCTTTTAATTTTCTTTTATTTCTCATTAGCTTCTGCTTTTCTTCTTAGTTTTCTAGCTGCAGTCGATAAATAAAAATTTATATTGATATTATTATTAATTCCGCCTATTAATTATTATTAATTCTCAAAATCATTCCACAAGTAAAAGAACTATTTCAAAAGTGAGAAAAATCCTCTGAAAAAAGTTTTCGGTACGATTACTTTATAGTGGAACTTTCGATTTAATGAATCACGCCGAAAATTTAGTTTTCGGGATAGCTGCAGAAAAAAATGGACAATTTAAATATTGTTATGTTAATATCTAACTTTACTGTGACCAAATGCAACCCGTTATACACATTTTGCACTACGTGTGGTCTAACTTTTACAATAATAATTTTAAACACTTGTTTTCAGTACAGATTTCACTCCTCTACAAATAGCTGTAACTCTTGATGTGAAATAATTAAGACTACGGCCCATTTGACAATTCACTACCCGGTATAATGCCATCGTTGAAAGTGACTAAAGGAATAAAATAAAATAAATAGTAAATAAATTAGTTTATTTTCTAAGAAGTTTACAAATGTATAGAAATAACAGAACATATTTTTATTAATTATTTACAATTCAGTTTTTAATCCTTTTTATCTCCAATTTATTTGGCGGGCAGTGGTCTCGCAATGCTGATATATTTCTTTCTTGTGCTATCGGCCAAACAATAAATAATAAAAAACGTCATTGTAAAAATCGCAAGCAGAATTTGTTAGTCTCCCTTTCTTTCAATTATGGCCTTAAAAGGCTAAAAACCTAAAAACATATTCTGCCATTTTTGTATTATGCACATATAAACAATTGATCGTTATTGATTTACGATTATAAATTGAAGGAAACTTCATTCAATTATGATTTAAAGTAATGTCGCACTTTTTGTAGATCCGTCAGAGTTATTTTGAATTTTTTTCAGAATATTTTTCTTGCGCGAGTATTTTATTTATTTTTTTATTAAGTATTTTTGTTTAAGTTTAACACTATGACGGCTTATAATCCTTTTGGCCCTCCTCCTGAAATATACGGCTACCAAACATTATGGCATAGCATAGGCAATTATATGGCTCGCCTTGAACAATACGAAAGATCTTTGCCGTTTTTTGATGAAGCTGTTCTGAAATGTCCCAATGATAAAAAGACGCTCATCGATAGAGGTATACAACTGTTTAACTTTTTACTAACGCTAAATGTATACAAAATATTGTCTTCAAATTAGCTTTATATGATGAGTCTTAAAAATTTTCATTACATAAGCTATATTTATTGCAACATCTACTGTTCCTACTCCTTTTTTTATTACACACTGTTAAAAATCTATTATATGTATTTTTTTGCTGTAACAACTGTATAAAATAACATTTATTCTTGTAGGAAAAGTAAGAGGAAAAATATGCAATTTCAAAGGAGCCTTAGAAGATATTAACAAAGCAATAAATTTGGACCCAAACGATCTGGTTTCTTTGGCCGAACGATCAGAAGCTGTGTACCTTAACTGTGAATTTGAGGACGCGATAATACAGAACTACAGGCTTCTTCCCCTCCGAAAGAAACCTGATCACTTTTCTATGGGAATTAGAAAATGTTCAACTGCTATTCAAAACTGTTTGGGCCCTGTTGCTGGATGTCCTTTAAGGGACTATTTCTTGATTATAAGAAAATTAGCTTGGTTGGAAACATTTAACGCTGGAAAGAGAGTAGCATTTGTGGCAAAGAATAAGAAAATCAGGAAACCTAAGAGAAAAAGACGCGAAAAGAGAAAGTCCGTGGGTGAAGAACATCTCGATTTAAATTTACAAATAAAAGATAGTATTTGTAGTCATGAATCAGATAATTTTGTAGTTCCCCCTCTTCAACAGTCCTTTAGGTTTTCTCCTTTACAAAATTATACAACCAACATAGACAATTACATGGCGGAAACTTATTTGGAGCGTATGTACCGCGAAAAGGTGTTTGTAAAGGAGTTATTGAACAAACCTGGAATTAGTTGCCCAAACCAAGAAGGTTAGCAAACATAATTTTATTAGTAGTTTTTGCCATCAGAAATTTATTCACTTACCTAAAAATATATTATGCCAAGGCTCATTATATATATATATATATATATATATATATATATATATATTATATATATTATATATATATTATGTATATATATATATAATATATATATATATATGTATATATATACTATATATATCTATGTATATATATTTATAATATATAAATATATTATATATATATTATATATATATATATATATATATACACGAGGTGGTCCTCTAAGTAATTGTATAAAAAGAAACCGTAGATTCTGCACTTTAAAATATTACGATTTAAGTCAACTTGCTTTAGTAAAATGTTGATGAAAGATACAGGAAAGATACAGTAGAAATTTGAAATTTTATTTTTCGCCATAACTTCAAGTTTGTAAATTATTATGGACAAAAATTTACAGTTGGATGCTTTTGACTAGGAGAAATTATAATTTGATACATAATTTGATGTAGATGATAGAGTGGCGCCACATATGCTACATATGTGACATAAATTTGCGCCTAATTTTTTTGCTCTTTAAGTAAGCTCTATTGTGTGATAAAAAATATAAAAGACACATTATTTTTACCAAGAAAAGGTATACTTGTTAATAACTTCAAAAATCAACCTTTTCGAGATAATCGTATTTTATAAGCCAGCTGCATAACAATTCTTAGTTGTGATAATTCTGCGGTAAAGCACTACCTGTGAATAAGCATAGTTATTAGTTTGTTCTTATTAAAACAACTTAAATATAATAAAATTATATCACAAAATGTTTTGTTATGGCTGCTAAATGTTTTATTGAGAGAAGCTTCTATCTTCTTCTTTAGGTGCCGTGTTCGTATTCAGAAGTTGGCCTTCATCATGTTTACAATTTTCTTTTTATATCACTTTTATAAGTTTCTATACTGGCGTTGTATAGAAACTTTTTCTCTATTGTAAAATCTTAAGGCATGAGTCACGGAAGAAGCGCTACAAGACGGAGTCACGAGCGCTACGTGACGCCGTAGCGTGAGCGCTACACCGTCACGTAATGGCGTCACGTTTAACGTTATTGTCAATAAATTCCTTTCAAACTATAATCAAATTGTATTTTAAACGTCTTTTTTATTTTATATAATAATTCAATTTACTATCAAATTAATGATCGAATATCAAATTTATATATCAATAATAACTTATATTAAGTCTCACTTTGACATGTCTGTATTTTGTTGATACGTTAGCAGGTGGCGCTACTAGCAAACATATTTTATTAAATTATTTTAATGTATAATAATTTGTTTAAAATATAAATAGTAAATAAATAATAAAATTACTTTATTAAATGTAAAAAATAATATTTAAAAAATATAGAAAATAGCTAGTGTACCTACCACGTTCTTTTTGAAGACAGTTTTGATGCCAGTAGACAACCCCAATGCATTTCGGGAAAGTTTAATATAGTAACCTGATGTCACGAATGCTTTTGACAACTAAAATAAGTCTTGTTTCGTTTAATCAGTGATTTTTGTAATATCTAGTCTATTTTTAGTCTTCTACA